CTCTGCCCCCCATCCCGTCAGCTCCGCCCCCCCATCCCCTCAGTTCTATCCCCCCATCCCACCATGTCCGTGATCCCCACTGTGTCTGGTTTTCCATCACTTTTTCTCCCGACCTGCCCTCGCTTTTGCCCCATAACCACCCAGCACTCTCCTTCCCCCATTTGGGGTCTCCATGGATACCCCAAGATCCTTCCTCTCGCTGTGACCATCTCCTACCTCTCCTTGTCCCTCTACCCCGAATCTCACCCCCTCTGGAGCCCTGGCATTTTCCCTCAACATTCCTCACTGCCCAGCACAGCTTGTCCTGGCTCCAAGGCTCTCTCTCACGTCCTGTTTGCTCCCATGGCCCTGGGGGATTTCTTGTGTATTCCAAACTCTTTCCTTCTTTACTCCTATTTTCTAAGCCCCTGGCCTGAGAACCTGTGCGTGCAAACCAGCATTAAGTCCATTAGTGGGCTGAGTTTGGTTTGCTTGTTTTGTAGTGTTTGAGGCTTTTTGCCAGTGTCCTCGGATTGTAATTCTTCAGGCACGGATTTAAATGACCTCTTTTCTTTGCTAGTATGTGAGAGGTCCCTCCCCTACTCCCCAGTGCCCCTGCTGTTCATATGTCACAGATTTTCATTATTCACATTGTGCTTAACCCAGTGTTCTGTAATTCCATGTGGGTTTCCTAAAGGTCTTCCTTCGTTTACACTGCATTTTGTGCCAGTAATGTGCTAGAATTCCATACTGCTTGGTATCTTTTGTAGCCATTTCCCCCATATATTTTCATTATTATTTGACTCCTGTTTTTTCTTCCCTGATCTCTCTTACGCTTCTTACGCTTGTACCTGTTTTCTCTGGGATTCGTCAGTCTCTGGGATTCTTGTTGAGCTGGGAGGGATGGGACTAACTCAAACCCAGAAGTTGGGTCCTGATTCTTCTGTTCTGTGACCCCCAGGCGTGTGACATGGCCACGGATGTCGCCGAGCCCGTGGTCCCTGACTGCAGAGGGGACGGGAGGAGCGGTGCCAGGTCAGACGCCGACTACCCCCTCCGGGTCCTCTACTGCGGAGGCAAGTGCTGGAAGGGCAACTGTCCATGATCCCTACAGTGTGCTGTTTGTGAGGGCAGAGAGAAAGAGAGAGTCTCTTTAGGTCAGATTTTATTGAGAAGCTGGACCCTGGTCAGCTTGACCTTTCTGATTGTCTTTCTGAAACAGCTTTGTTGTGTATTTTATCCCAAGCATTTTTGGTGAAATGTAGGGATCTTCCCCCCTGAGAGACAGGATTGACAGCTCTCTGGGTGTGAAAGGAGTGGGAGCTCCGATCTCTTCCTGCAGAAAGCCAGTAAAGCACAGAAAAGGCCTCTGAGCTTTAGTATGACAATGAAAAATGGAATACATGGACTAGTTGAACTGTGTGTAGAATTATTCTTTACATTACATTGTAGTTATGTGGGTGAGATTTAAAGGGAAGTAAATAATTTAGGTATGTTTTTTAGGTAGGTTTGTCACTTTGCTTTGGGTTTGAATACAGTTGCAGGGGATTAGGAAATAGTCCCTGTTTTGTGTGAAAATCTGCACGTTGGTTTGGGTGGTTGTGGGGCCAAGTCCCTCTTTGGGACTTTGGCAGCTCTTGGAAAAAGGAAAGGTGACCAAATCATGTAGTATTTTATTGGGTGTATCTTTTGCCTCAGGTAGAACTATTGTTTCTTTCTGTAACTTATCCCGAAGCTTTAGGCATCTCCTTCCCTCACTGACTCTTGCTGTGGTGGTTTTATCCTAATGCAGAACATGTGAGCACAGGTCTAACAAGAGAGGAATTAAAATGTGGAATGGCATCAATACAGTAATGGTTTTGAGCCAGTATGGGATTATAACCAGAAGTTCTGATGTAAGCAGGGCTAAGAGTTGGACTCGATGATCCTTGTGGGTCCTTCCAACTCAGAATATTCTCTGATTCTTTGCTTTGGAATTTAACACTAAGGCTGTAAGTGGAGAACTTCTTTTTGTAATGTGGGTTTTTTTTCCTCCTCTTCTTTCTCCAGTCTGTTCGTTGCCAACAGAGGTGAGTTAATTATTTTTTTGTCTGAATTTTTTCCTTCTGTCCTGTGATTCCTGACTATGATGATTCTTCCTGATATTCTCTGTCTTGTCTTAATTGTGCTCCAGCCACTGTCATCATTAGGATAACATGAGGTTTCTTATGTGCTAATATTTGTATTCAGTCATCTTAAGGAGAAATGGCTGAGCTGAATAGCAGATAGATTTTGGTGTATTTGTGATGTATTTTGTCTTTCCTCCACTAACAACGTTCGTGTGATTTTTCTCTAGTACTGTGAATACATGCCTGATGTGACTAAATGCAGACAATGGTTAGAAAAGAATTTTCCAGATGAGTTTGCAAAACTTACAGTAGGTAAGAATCTTGTGTGTTTTCCAACTGATACGTGCCCTCAGACATATTCAGAAATCTTTGAGCTCATCTCTTCCCTTTTCCTGCTGTATCATGTGGAAGTTAATACTTTTCTTAGGAGTCTATCGTGCTTTTGGATGCTGTGAAATATGTTTGATAATGTCAGAAACCACTAAATAATCAACGTGTAGTTTCAGTAATAATATTTGAGCTTTCTTAAGGTTTCAGCTGTAACCAGTCACCCATGTGCTTGTTTCCCATCAAAGTTAGTTCACTGGATTTTGCATCTGTCCAGTCTGCTGTGAATGGCTGGAGGAAAGGTCATTAATGATGGGGAACTTGTTCAGTAGCATTTGGAATTTCAGTATTAACATTAGCATTTATTTAATGTGCATAAGTACTGTTATGAAGATGTAACACGCATCAGTCAAGGGACTGCTGCATTTCTGCAGAGTTTACTGATTTAGCAAAATGTCATTGCACCATCCTGTTTCTGGAAGGCTGTCAGTGTCTGACCACTAATTTTGTTCTTTTTCCCCTCACTCCTTTCTGATGCATTTAAGAAAATTCACCTAAACAAGAAGCTGGGGTTGGAGAAGGCCAAGGAAATGTGGGAGGAGAAGAAGAAGAGAAGAAGAAGCAAAAGAGAGGCAAGGTCTAAATAGTTGATTGTGGTACTGATTTATAAGCAGTTTGGGGCATCCCTTTCTCACCTGCTGGTCTGGACCAGGGCACAAATTCCTCGGATTTTGGTTGTGAGCTGTGCTGTGACTGCACAGAAAACAGTGAATATCTTTCTCCTGGTGGCAGCAGTTGGTGTGGTGATCTGTGCTGATGGAAACGTAGAGAGCAGGGATAGGGATAGCCAGGGAAAGGGGACCTGCATCCTGTGTCTCATTGTTCCAGTCACGGCTATCACACTTATTCAGGGAGCAGTTCTTCCCAACTAAAATCAGCTGGCATTCCTCCCGGAATACCCGTTCCTGCCCTGTTTAGCAGCAGTTTATAGGTTGTTTGCAGAGTAGAACAAAGACTGCTTTCCTCCATGAATGCCTCATGACTCTGCTTTTGCCTTTGTTCCTTCCCCCTCTCTGTATTCACGTAACAGGATTTGGTTTTATGCTTTTAAATCTGTTACCTGTGTCTCCACTAAGAGCTATGTCTCTTTGCAGCAATACTAATGAAAAACAGTTTCAAAACTCAGCTTTGGAACGTAAAAAAATTATATGAAACTACTTAAACACACTTTTATCTTCTATCATTGCAGTTTTTGCTGTTTAATTAATTAACATACTTTCCACCATAAATCAGAGTGCTGGGATTGTTATTAATAGATATTTGCCTGTGCAGTGCCAGTTGTGTCTAGTGCTTCAGAAATTATGGTTAATACCAAGTTAGATTCACATTTTAAGCCACACATCACTGCAGGGGTTTTATTTTTGTGTCTTGGTAACCAGTTTTGTTTGCCTTGCCAGTAGGCAGTGTCTAGTGACAACAGTAATTTATGTTCTGTAGCTTGGATGCTTTTCCCAGAGATTTCAGGACATTTTCTTTCAGCATTAAATTATTGTGTGTGATGGTACGGTTAGTTTTCAGTCTGGGTTTTGGTTCTGAAATAAGAGTGTTTAAAATATTTAGGGATTTTCTCGTAATATCTAAAGTTTCATGAAGACTTACAGTCTGGTGTTAAGCATGATGGTTTAAGATTGAATGCAAAGAGAGAGGATGAGGAAAACCAAGCCTATACTTACAAAGACACTGCAGGAATTTGCTGAAGCAATTTTAAGACAGAAATTTACTGTCTTTAAAATTATCAGATATCAGTTTGTAATAATGTAGAATTGAAAGTGCTGTGTGTTAGAAAAAAGAAATAGTCACAGGGGTTAGTTTGCTTGTTCTAAATTCTTTAGGTTTTCATCCTGGGAAGGCTCAGGAACATCAAACTTTGGTTACCCTGGAGTAATTTGATGACTGTACACAAAGTCAGCCGAGATCTTAATCTGCCTCGAAGAATCCTAATTAGCGGAATGTAACTTTTCCGTGCTTTGCTCAGACTAATAAATGCCCAATATGTGAAGTGTTCCCACAGGTTGGCCTAGAAACAGACAGGAGGAAAGATGATGTTCAATCATGTGCAGTTTTGCCTCGTTTCGGAGGTGTGGTGTTTGCTGCTGGTTCATATGTCAGGGTCTGGTTCGTTCTGGGGTCGTGCTTGGATATCCAGAATTTAATCTGCTGTGTAACCCGGCTCGTGGCCGCGGTAAATGAACGTCAGGAGGTTGCTTTGCCTCGGACACAGACCCTGGGGATGTTAAACTCATGAAAAACATTAAAATAACAGTTTGTTCCTCAGACTACAAACCAAAGAACAATTCCTGAAAGAGCAGTTAAATGTAGACCAAGCACAGTGATTAGTAAAGCGTGGGGAAAAGCCCTTTTTTGCTAATTGTAGTGGGGTTCTGCTGTGCAGCCTATACTGGAATGCACATTTGACATGTATATATTATTATTTCTCTTAATATTGAGCTTTGGGGACAGAGGATCTTTCTTAAATAATAATAAACCCGAGACAATATGCAAAATACATTTTTGCTACCAACGCAATTGGGGAGATAACAGTTTCTTTGTTTATAGGGATTAAATCTGACCTTATATGCTTTTTTCTTTGATGAAGTATATCATCATTTAACTAGTCATGTAACCTTATGCTCTCTTTTAAAGGTGGAAGAGGTCAGATAAAACAGAAAAAGAAGACTGTACCACAGAAAGTCACGATAGCTAAAATTCCCAGAGCAAAGAAAAAATACGTCACAAGAGTGTGTGGCCTGGCAACGTTTGGTGAGTTGACTTTAACCTGCCTTTAACCTCATCATATTTCTTCTGATCATGTTCTACTGAGTGACTTGCTTCTGTCTGTGTGAGGTGAAAGTCCCAAGGTGCTTTTAGCAGTTCCAGAGGTACACTGACTTCTCTCAGGGATAAATTATTTAAGTCCTTATTTCCGTGTTTTTTCAAACAAATAGGGCTGTGGGTTTTTTGAAACAGGGTTTCACTTGTTAGGCTTCAGACTAGTCTATTGTCTTTAATTATGAAGATGTTTATTTAAAAAAACCCTCTTATTTCCATCAAACCTGAAAATATGTTACTGGCAATTAAATTCACCTGTTCTTGAGACTGTAAGTAAAGCTTGAACTGCCTTTCTAATAAGACAGTCAAATGATTGCCAGCTTAATGCTGTCCTGCATAGCTTTGGTTCAGCTGCAAACAACCACTTGGTGTTTGTAACAACATCTTACTTCATACATTGATCACAAACTCTGTTAAAAAGGTAAGTTTTAACCTTTTTTGGATTAACAAGCCATGTCCCATATTTCCTCTATGAGAGTATCATCCGATTTCTTGAGGGATCAGTAATACCTTGGTCTAAACTGGGCACCCTTGTGCTGGAAGCCAGTCTCAAAAAGTGTTGGGACATGTTTCTGGAAATAACACCACTGTGGAAAAACTTGTTCAATAACCATAGGAGATGTTCAGAGGTGGAGGTGTTTTTTAAACATTTCTGCATGTGCTTTTCTGGTGAGTGTGTGCAGCACAGGCCCCCATGAACAGAACATGTAGGGGACATTCAGCAATTTTTATTTTGAAGAATTTGCTGGATCTGTAGAGTCAGATGTTTTGGGTGCAAACAACAGACTTCGCTTTCAATGGAAGCCATAGCAAGGCTTCAGCTGTTAACTACCACTTTTTCAACAGTTAAAGCAAGATTTTGCCTTTGAACCTGAGAAAATACTTTAATGTCAGTGACTGTACTTAAATTGTCCATTTTCCCCTCAACAGAAATCGATCTTAAGGAAGCACAAAGGTTCTTTGCTCAGAAATTTTCCTGCGGTGCCTCAGTAACAGGAGAGGATGAAATCATCATTCAGGGGGATTTTACAGATGACATTATTGATGTAATCCAGGAGAAGTGGCCTGAGGTAATAAACCTTTGCTTCTGTCAGGACTCTACTTTTCCACAATAACCTGTGACTTTCTGACGATTTCAGAAAAGGTTTCATCTTTGGCAGCACAGACTGTTGCACAAAAATAGAAGAGCAGTTGTTGCATTCCCACCCTACAGTGAGGGAAGCATGTCAGAATGAGTCCAGCTGTCGAATGTCTGTGGCTTCTTTGTGACCATTTCTTAACAGTGAACGTCTGACTATTCTTACATTGCCATCCTATTTTTCAACACCTCTTAAAATATTGCAAAATTAAAACAAACAAACAAACCCAAACCCTACACACTTGTGCTTCAGAAAAGAAGCTAATTTGGGATTGGACCAAAATTGATGGTCGAGAGCTGTAATTGCAAATGCTTTCTCTGACTCTCCCTTGTCCTGGTATTTCCCAAGTGGAATTCTTTCTGAAATAACTCCATAGGCCTGTCTTTATTCTGAGCTCTGTTAGGCTCAGCTGTGTCCTATGAGCACATGTCACTCACACAGAATTTACAGCAGGGAATCTGGGATGGTGCTGTTTACTTCTCCCACACTTCATTACATTTACAGGAGTGAATATTAAATGAGACATGTAAGAAGAAAATACATTTACTTTGCTGTGTTTTGCTTTTTTTCCTAGGTGGATGACGACAGCATCGAAGACCTTGGAGAAGTCAAGAAGTGAAAGACTACCTTTATTTAATTAAATGGTTATAAATGATATAGCCAAAGTGAGGCTTCTAAATCCATTTGCTCTGCAGTGAAACTGTGGAGAACCCACACCCTTGGCATTTTCACTGTTCTGTATAGGCTGCTTGTTTATTTTTTTTCTTTTTGTTGTGATATTTGCCAAAGTTAAATCGGGGTTCTACCATGCTTACGCATGAAGTAGATTTAAATAAAATTACTGTTCCTCACTGAGTACAGTATCTGGTATTTTTTACATATACTTTCCTCAAACTATCTTACAGGAAAAGAAGAGCTTAAGTCATTAAAAGCTTGTTTTTCATCTGCTGTACTTTCTGCTGAGCTTAACTGAATAAGGCATGTGGCTGATATACGGACACTTGTACCTTGGGCCTACCTGCAGAGAATTTTAGAAATCAGAATGGAACAGATCTTAAGGTTTGTTAACACTGAAGGACAGTGAGTCCTGAAGTGGTCAGGCAGTTCTGTTGTAGGTCACTGCCAAGTGAATTATTTATTCTAGTAAGTGGAAACACTGAGGAATATGTGAATATGACTTGAAAGTTCATCCTGTTCTCATAATTCCAAACCATCTCCTAACCCTGCTGGGCTTCTAGGGGAGGCAACTGTTGTGGCTTTATGCTTTTAGTGTGCTGCTGGTTCAAAAATAGTAGTAATGAACACAAATTAATAGTGAGCATATTCCAGGGGCTCTGTTAGCAGGTGAGGAGGGTCCAGCTGCACGCTCTGCTCTCTGTACTCCCACAAACAGCCTCGAGCATCAATTTGGTGCTTTTTATTTTACTGCTCCATTTAATAACAATAAATGCTCCCTGGTGTCACAGTCCTGGAAGTGACGTGCTCCTGTCACCGCGAGTTGAAAAGGGAGGGGCTGAAGTATCACACACCCTGTTCTCCAGCCATAAATTTTTTTTTCTGTGATCTTTGTTTATAAACCTTTGGTTTAGTTGGGAAAGGTGTATCTCCAGAGATAACTGTATCTCTGCAGTAGGGAATGGTGTACCTCCAGAGAACTATCTGTAGTTGTCCCATTCAGCTCTTAGAATTCTTTTCTAAGCTAAAATTTGGAGTTTGCTGTTTGTCTGCTTAGTTTTGGGGAGCCCTGCTCAGAACCAGCTTGCCTCCAAAAATGTCAGGCACTGGGATTGCAGAAGGCAGTGCTGTCCCCAGAGCAGTACTGGGTGCTTGGATAGGGAGTTCCAGAAGGTTTTATTTAGAGCTTGATTACTGTGATGACCTGTAACATTCTGAAACTGGTTTAAGGATCTGAAAATAATTGGTCTTCAAGGGTTCTAGAATTTTTTAAGTGATTTGTATGATTGGGCTAATTTTTCCTGTGTATGCAACAAAGTCAAGCAGTATTCTGCATTTTATCTAATTGTCTTGACCCAAGATGTGCAGGGTAGTCATCTCCAGCCTGTACCATCCCACTAGGCTCTTACTCTTAGCCTTACCCTATTAACAACGTTATTAATTACTGCGTTTTTCCAGCAGCCCCAGCCCCAGGGGCGGGCCCCGGGACTCGAACCTGCGGCCCCGGGTCTCGAACCTGCGGCCCCGGGTCTCGAACCTGCGGCCCCGCCGCCCCGCGGGGCGGAGCTTCCACCAACGGCGGGCAGCGGCGGTGGGTCGGGGGGTAACGGGGGGCAGCGGGCGGGGGGAGCGGGGCTGAGGGCACGGGAACCCCCCGGCGTCGGGAGGGGCCGGCCCAGCCGTGCGGGACAGCGCGGGGGCCCCGCAGGCCGCCCCGGGGAGGGAGGCCGGCCCGCCCGGCGCGGTGGTACCTCAGGGCCCCTCTCAGGCCTGGGCGAGGCCGCGGGGCCGCCCCCGCCTCGGTCCGCGCTCAACGGCGCTTGTCCTCCCTCAGAGTTCGGAGCAGCCTCAGGGGTGCTGGGCTCAGGAGCCTCCATGGTGGACGTGGCAGCCCCGAACAGGTCCCGGTGTCCGCGAATGCCTGGCAGCGCTCTGGCCCCCGGTCCCCCATGAGTTCATCACTGCTGCGCTCTTCTTCGTCCCAGGTAAAACATGAAAGTGCCGTTAACAATCCGCTCTATTTTTGCCAGGAAATTACTCACTGTGCTGCCGACGGCTTGAGTCATGGACCACAGGTGGTACCACTTTGTACTGCGGAGGGTTTTAAGCCAAGGGCCACGACCGTGAGAAACTTTTTGGAATGGTTTCTATTTATAATATAAACGTATTTCAACTTAAAATAAAACGCTCGAGTTTATTATCAGGGAACTTGTCGCTTGCTTGTGTTGAAATGCATTCCATATCTCACCTTTTATAGGCACTTAGCCCAGATCATGAGAACAGCATCATTAAGAAACAGAGACAAGAACTCCAGCTTTTAATTGCAGAACTGAAAGAGCGTGACAGGGAGCTCAATGACATGGTTGCTGTGCATCAGAGACACATCCAGGCCTGGGAAGGTGATCGCCACAAAATACTGACTTTAGCAGAACGATGCAGCTTGTTGACCAGTAAGTGTTGTGAATATGAAGGATAAGATTTTGGTCTTTTAAGTATATTAAGGTGCTTTGACCCGTCAGTAAGAGCTTTGCGTCATGTAAAGAACCATTTCCTACCTTTCAGCCTTTAAATTGTATTGTCTCTTTCTGAGACCTAGACTTCCACCATGGTACTGAAGTGATCTGATCTGGGAGGGGGTGTGGTAATCAGAAGGCTCTTTCTCGTTTGAATGTGTAAATTGCTTCTGTGAATTCTTTAAAAAATAATCTGATTAAATAAATGTGGGGGAGAGAAAACAATTTGCAACTTGCTGGTGTGCTGCAGAGCCCTGTGCCCTGAGGTTATGCTGCACAGCTCTGACATCACCCACAAACCACCCAGTGAAACACCTGGCAGCTCTGAGCAGTTGTTCATTTCTGAATCGCACGGTTTTAAAACAACTGGATTAAATTATTTCTGAGATTTAAAAAAAAAATCTTTCTGAGATATAAAAAATTGCATGACGGTCTCTGAGCTGTTTTCTCACAGGCAGCGTTGTCTCCTTTCTTTTCAGGTGAGCTGAACAACAAAAATGCAATTATAAAATCACTGACCAAAAGGTTAAAGTTCGTAGAATCTCAGCAGAATGACAGTCAGGCAACACTTGAAAATACACAACAGAAGTTTAAAGAGCTGACTCAAAAAGTAACAGATTCATCTGTTCACTGCCAGGCTCTGGAGGTAGGGGTCGAGTAATGCTCTGGTTTTGCAGTCTCTGCATGTACTGGATGCCAGTGGCATTTGAGAATTTCACTGGTGAATAAATAATTCATATTAGGGCTCCTGAGTTGCATTTGTCTTTTAGTACAGTAATGTGAGATCAAAGTAAAGGTCTTATTTGTTGGGTAAAAAAAGAGGGTGAGGGAAAAAACTTTTCTAAGCTACAGTTTGGAGTTTGCTGTTTGTCTGCTTAGTTTTGGGAGCCCTGCTCAGAACCAACTTGCCTCCAAAAATGTCAGGCACTGGGATTGCAGAAGGCAGTGCTGTCCCCAGAGCAGTACTGGGTGCTTGGATAGGGAGTTCCAGAAGGTTTTATTTAGAGCTTGATTACTGTGATGACCTGTAACATTCTGAAACTGGTTTAAGGATCTGAAAGTAATTGGTCTTCAAGGGTTCTAGAATTTTTTAAGTGATTTGTCAATGATTGTATGATTGGGCTAATTTTCCCTCTGTATGCAACGAAGTCAAGCAGTATTTTATCAAGCATTTTGTCTGTCTAATTGAACTAAGAAGTGCAGGGTGTTAAGACCCTTGATCACAAGCAAAGCGGGGAACAATTTTTACTCCAGCCCTCTTTCCTCCACCTTGCTCAGGATCCCACATTGCCACTCACAGTGTTTAAATAACGTCATGGATGCATTTGCTGGAAAAAATACTGACTTTGAATCACTGAAGCAATAGCTGACACTTATTTCTGTTCTCTAGGAGAAAAATCAGGATCTCCACTGCTCAGTTTTAGAGCTGTCAGTTAAAACAGGCCAACTGCAAGCAAGAGAACAGGAGCTCCTCACTATGCTTAGGCTGAAGGTAACATCTGTCTTCTCATGGGCACTGAATGTGGTCACTCTGCAGTTGTTGGTGACTGTACCAGGGGGGTTCTGTCACTCTTGACCTCTCTCATGTTTAAATCTTAGGCTTGTTTGAGAAGGGAAAAGTGGTCAACAAACAACAAACTGGTTTGTTTTCATAAACAATCCCATTTCCAGGCTTTGATTTTGGTTTTTGTTCCTCAGGAGCTCAAAAGAAAATCTGTGAAGTCACTGTAACTACTGCAGTAGGATGCATTGTTGGTTTGTCAAAATCCATCCATATTATAAAAATTAAGAATACATTCTGTTTCCTGTTTCAGGACAATGCTTTAATTGAAACAACTGATCACATTAATGAGTTTACGTGCAAATTAAAAAAGCTGGAGAGTGCATTGCGTGCAGTGAAGTCAGAGGATTTCTGTCTCAACAGAGAACAGAAAGAGCTCAGACTGACACTGAAAGAGCTAATGCTTCAAACAAATAAGCTGAAAGGTAAATGTTTATTCTGGGTTCTTAATTTAGTGTAGACCAGCACGGTTCCTTTTCATTCTGGGAAATACCACATTTTGTTTTGTAGATGTCCTCTCTGAAAAGATGGAGGAGAACAGCAAGCAGCACGAAGAAATCCTTCACCTGAAACATGAAAATGGCTGCTTGAAGAGTGAGCTGGCACTGGCAGGTAAGGGTGAGCAGTTGGCTTTTCATGCCTTAGCTTTCAACAGCTCAGGGACTCCTAGACAGCAATTCGCTAATATGTGTGAAGGAGGCAGCTTCTTATCTACCTTCCTTGCAGTTTAATAAAAGAATATCCCTTGTGTGCCATTCTTGTGTCAAAGCAATATCTGGGGCTTCTGCAGGGACAGTTCTACAGGGACAGTTTATAGAATCTTGTGAAAGCACAAAGTTCACCAAAATGATTACACGTGGAGGAATAAATGGCTCAGAGTGGTCTCTCCTGAAAACTTCTGAGTCTTTCATGTCTCCTCTTTTCCCTCTTTCCCCCATTCCTTTCTGAGAAAGTTAAATAAGTCAGTCAATGAAGCACATTATTGCTGCTAGTAAAATAAATCCAGGTGCTGAGGAAAAGTTGAAGGAAAATACTTGATTGTTTAGTTGTCTTATGGGTTTGTGCTCTTTTTAACTGGGAGGGGAAACAGATCCTGTTGATCTTAA